TGCTATAGAGGGATCCTAGCAGTCCCTGGACCCAACTGTGTGAACCGCTGTTTGAATATCAGCTGTAAAATGAATCTCGGCTTATAGTAACTTACAGTCGTGCAGTAACTGCTTCACCAAACTAGCGCACTCGCCATAAATAAAGCCCTCATTTAGAGTTTACAATTACAATCTCAGAGTGGACAATGAACAAGTCCTTAAAGACAAATACAAAACAAAACCTCCATGTGTTCAAAAACCTTTGACATGCTGTGAATGTTTTTGTCATGAACCCATTATTATCTGTTTCCAGCCTCGATTTAAAAGATCGCTGCTCACTTCTTTGTATTCCTCGTCCAAATATGTATTGTTCATGATGTTTTCTGAGAACCCAATTCTCTCTCGAATAGCTCGAGCCTGCAAGAAATAAAACAGTAAAAAAAATTAGCCACATTTAATTGATTGTTTGTAGAATGTTAGTGGGCACTAAGTCCGCGTACTCAATTGAATTCTTTTGAATCACATTAGCGGAGTTTGTACAGTCTCGAAGTCTGCAGATGAATTCCAAGTCAATATTTACACTGGAAGCTTTTGTTTTAGGAGACATGACTGAGAGTGACAGAGGAAATGTGCTGAACCACACACATACATCAGGTTGAACAAAATGAAATGACTCTTGTATGAGTTTGCTTGCAGTCATAACTGTGCCAACAATCTGAATGAAACTCACCTTCTCCTCTGCCGCTTTCCTGGTTTCATCATCCATCCAGGTGAGGCCTTGTAAGTTACTAACAAACACCTCTCTGATGCTAGCAATCATCTCATCCATCTGAGGACAGCAGTGAACAACATGTTAGTTACAATGCCTTCCATAATGATTCACCTCCCGTGAACTTCTACACATTTTGTAGAGTTACAATCAGCAGCTGAAAGGGACTTAAGTGGGAAACCCTTAAATGGGATGCCATTGGGAAGTCACATAATTAGTTGAATACAGTTGACCTGTGTGAAATCAAAATGCCAAGCGATCTCAGTATAAAACAGACCAGACCCTGAAGACGAAGGAGCTATCAAAGGTTCGGGAAAAAATATCAATGAGGATTTGGTTATAAAAAAATATCCCCAACTGTGAATGTCCAACAGATTATTAAAACATAGAGTTCAAGAACAGGTTAAGAATAGCATTAGTCAGGGAAACAACCAAGAGGCCAATGGCTCAGGGATTTGGAAAGATCCACAGTTCAGAAGAGAGGACATATGAAATCCAGTCTGTAGTTTGCCAAAAGGCACGTTGGAGACAAAAGAATGTTCCAAAAGGTTCTCTGGTCAGATACGACCAACACTGAGTGTAAAATTGAGTGCATTTCATTTGGTGGAAGCCCAACACTGCTCATCACCATCCCATAAGCTACACTTGAGTAGTTCGAAATCGAGAACCCGATTGCCCAATCAAAGCCCAGGCCTCGACCTGAATCTGTGACAGAACTGCTCGGCAGAAATTCTGCCAAGAAGAATTGGCAAAGCTACCTGGATATGCAAAGCCGATCGAGACATACAGTATCCCGTAAGACTCGTTAAAGAAGGGTGAATGAAAAGCACTGTACTGTATTAAACAGAATTTTTTTCCATAGAATAAAGAAGTGCACACACACTATCCTTATATATCCTTATAGCAATGGTGTATACACCATCGGTGTCCAATCTTAACAGTAAAAGCCTGGTATGTCAACAGGTTTCTGTTCAAAACACGCAGGAGCCAAACGTGATCGAAGGCCACTGACCACCTCTGACATACACAGAGTTGAGACAGCAACACTAAAGTCTTCATACCGGCTCAAGCCAACACTAAAGTGTTTTATAATACTAGTTTGACAGGAAACTCTAACAATAACCGTTCAAACTCGACATGTTAAAACATGCATTGTTATTTGAACAAACAGTGCGGTACAAATAAATTCTATACCAAATGACAAATGGGCCTATTATAGTCGATGATTTATAGGCTCTGAATAAAAAACAAGTTTCATGAATGTATGTGACGATCAAAAGGGTCCATGTCTCAGCATGTCGGGATATTTCCGTTGGATCAGATATTTGTGAAACAGGACAGTTGAGGACAACGGGGGAGGGGGAAAAAAACAGAAAATTGAGCACTGTAGGATGAAATAATGAGTAAAATTCTACACTAAATCAATTCTCATGTCAATATGGATATAGAGTAGAGTTTACATCAATGGCTTAGTGCCAGTTTATAGTTACAGTAATGTATTTGATCTGACTTATGTACTCGTATAAATAAGAACTAGAGCATGCGAACAATTATGAATTACTGCGCGTGCTTGTCAATACGCCGTGGTCGTCGTCGGTTTCCATTCTAAAACTGTTTCACATGCCTGGACATAGTTTGTCGAATGAAACATTGTTTTGCTCTGTTGCTGATAACGTTGTACTACTTCATATCGTCATATCGTTAACAGAGACCTGTCTGTCTGTAATGATACTCTTCTGATCTCAGATATTTACTAAGTACACCCCTAAATATTCAGTAAATCAGAGTAGTTTTGTTTTTAATGTGTTAAATTCCAGTTACGTAAAATGCATGAAGGTACGGATTAGCGACTAGCGTGACTGAAACGACAGTTAGCTGTTCAATGCTAAAACGTTAACGATTAGTTCATGGCCATAAATAAGAGAATGTGAAGATATGGTTTGTTTCACACCGAGCTGCTCGTCTCAGGTCGAGTTCTGATGAATAATTTACATACATGCACGTGATTGTCCTCAATAGAGCATCTGCTACTGGAACCAAGTCAACTCAAGTAAATTTAAGGGTTATACTTTCTTTTTTTTTTTTCTATAACTTGAGTGAAGATTTTAAAGCTTTTCTTCAACTTTTAGCAGATCTTGTATCATTGATCTTCACCGTTACTCATTGTTTTTCATTTATTTATTAATTAACTCATTTATTTACGAATTTAAAAAAAATATTTACGTCAATATTTCATTTTCAAGTATTTCTATCCTAATGCATACTGTTCAAGTGTGGATTGTTCTATTCTTTGTCTAATTTCATGTAAAGTACTTTGATCTTTTGAACTCAATATGAAAAGCTCTACATAGATAAAGATTTTTATTCATTTATTTATTATTATTTTTTTATGAGCGTGTACTTTTACCACCTCTGCTTAATTCTGGCAACTCAGCGTAGCTAGACACATGACCCCCAGCCTTAATAACAGCCTCGTTCGACTGTCTTACTTCAAACCAATGTCCAAACGGTTCTGACAGCAGCATAAAACATTAGCAAAAAATTAACAGCAGTAATCCAAGACAATTACGATTAGCAATGATTAACCACAAACGCTGTAGCATCTTTGCTTAATAAGTTTTTAACGTTCCATATACGCATGACAAAAAGAAAAAAGGAAAAATGCTCAGGTTTCCACACTCATAATTATCTGCAAGAACATGTAAACATGGCCACACATCAGAAGTGTGTCTCTGCGCTGAAGAAAAGTGGGCAGACGCTAGTCATGGGGCCCGAAGCAGGCAGTGATTAATGGTGTGTTAAGGGCTATGCTTCATGACAGGTGGTGCTGAGCTCCACTTACAAGAAAACGAGGAAACGAAAACAGCCAGCGTCAGCCTACACATAGCTGTGTGTGCTGCACAAACACGTCTTCCAAGAACTGTAATGCATTCTAGCGAAAAGTGCAAATGACACAATTGTGAACAGAAACGTCAAGTAGACACGGACGCGCACAAATTCAGCAGTCACTTTACCCAGAACTCACCATGTCCTTGCTGTCTCCAGCAAAGGCTTCTTCTACATACAGTCTGCCAACAGCATTCTCCATGTTGTTGTTGACATAGACCGCACACTGCCGCCATATCGCTGCTTCTGAACTAGTACCAGAGATGGCCTGAGAGAAGAGAGGACATGATGATGGGAGAGGAGAGAATAGTACAGAAGCAAGGTATTGAGAAGGCAATAGAAAACAAGAATGGGAAAAAAGTTATGGGATAGGAATAAAGACAGGCTCCTTTTTTATAGTCTTCGTCTGGTCACGTGACCATGGCCTGATTCACGATTTGGATTTTGCATTTTAATAAACCTTGGATCCTCAGTGGTTCATTAAGATTCTCCCAGAGGAACAAACCAAAGAATTCTTTAAGCTTAGACAAGATTTAATCTTTTATTTATTTATTTATTTATTCATTTATTTATTTATGTATTTATTATCAAAGAATGTATAGCCATCAAGTCCTCACTATCAGTTAAAGAGAACAGGAACTGATACAAACTTTTTTAAAAGCTTTCCTGGTGTCTCTGTACGCTCTGCTCAGGCCAATCACCATGTTCATGGCAAAACGCCACACGATGTAGTTCTGGACGTCTCTGCAGACATAAACACAGACAGTTTCATTTAGTTAATGAACATTTATTGATGTACGGTCAGTGATGAAGGCATAGCTGCTGTCACACCACCCACAGTGAAGTTACTCCATGCTGTTAAGTCCTACCCCTAAAGACAGGTAGACATCTGGCTAAAAAGTATGAGGGTGTGATTTTTAAAGCCCTGCTTCGGCAGAATAGTGTGTCATGAGTATAACCAGCGTACCTTGATCTTCTTAGATTAGAATTTCATTGACATATTTAAAGCCACTAGGTTCTCCAGGTACAAGGCCAGTTACCCCTGTTCTGGACCTGATTTTTTTTTTTTTTTTTGGAAGGCAGTGTCTGAGTAACTCACCTCTTTGTGTAATTAGCCAGGACAGGGTTGAGCTTCCTCAAGTAGTTGGGGGCATAAAGGATCACTTGCTCACTCTCCTCAATGGGAATGTTGATGGTTTCCATAATCTTATTAGTAAAGTGAGTCCAGTTAAAAACCTGGAAAAGGAACAGACAGTCTGAGGCTGTTCAGTCTCGTATTAACACTTCAAAATTATTATCCTAAAAAAAAAATACATAATAATAATAATAATAACACTAAATAAGTTAAGAGAAGATCAATCTAGGTGGCTTAGTGGATTAGTGGTTAGCACGTTTGCCTCACACCTCCAGGGTCAGGGTTCGATTCCCACCCTGGCCCTGTGTGTGTGGAGTTTGCATGTTCTCCCCGTGCTGTGGGGGTTTCCTCCGGGTACTCCGGTTTTCTCCCCCAGTCCAAACACATGCACGGTAGGCTGATTGGCGTGTTTAAAGTGTGTGTGAGTGTGTATGTGATTGTGTCCTGCGATGGACTGGCACCCTGTCCAGGGTGTACCTTGCCTTGTGCCCCATGCTCCATGGGATAGGCTCCAGGTTCCCCGTGACCCTGAAGAAGGATAAGCGCTATAGAAGATGGATGGATGGAAGATCAATCTAAACTGATGATTTAGCCTTTCGATATGAATTACACCAAGAATTTTAAATGGATTTTCCTTTTTTTTAATACACTGGGCATGGTTTTGTACTGGTGTGAGTGTAATTTAGTGATATAATTTTGACGTATTCCAAAAATAAACGTCACAAGCCAAATTCCATTTCTAAATCAAACCGTTAATACAATATACGTTATATTTCTCGTTAAATATCATATAATTATGGTGGGATTGTCCACACTGCTGTTATCAGTCATCTAAAATTTTACTTGCTGTGATATCTAGTATTCAAAAAAAAAAATCAATGTGAAATAAAAAAAAAAAGTCCACAAAAACAGGTGTGTGTTTCATACTGTGGAGTCGAACGCAAGTGTGAAGTTAGAGTTGAGTGTCTCCAGGGGCATCTTGTTATAGATGAGAACAGGATTGTTTCTGTCTTCAGGTGTGTCTGTAGCCTGCAGGAACAAGGGCAAAAACAGGAAGAACTTTTTTTTTTTTTTAACGTTAATAAACAACAGCAGAAGATAAGAGCTTGTGGAAATCCATATCTTTTCATTTTTCACCTTTCTGTCTAGCGACTGAAGCAACCATGCCCTTCAACTTTGACATCTGAAGCTGTCATTTCTTATTCGTGAACATTATCTAGAATATAATGTTCTGTGATTTAAACTGCACCACGTGAGCCACAGAAGGAAAATAATCAGCAACGGGAAGGTGCTCGTACCGTTCCGGAGTTGATTATCGTTACACTATTGGTATATCCTCAAGGGTTTTATTCACCTGACACCATAGTAGCAATTTCATCATGATTACACTGTTTTATTAATTACAGAACCGCATACGTTTGATCTGTTTATAGCTACAGTTAATATTGTGAAACGTCCATGAAACAGGCTAGTTCCTGTTATCACTTAATTATAGCATCTGTAAACACTCATTCCTCATCAGCCTCATTAAGAATTACACACATTTATTAAAACCTGTTTATGTGGAGCGTCCTCCATACAAGTCCCTGGGTAAGTTGTAAGTATAGACACGATAACGTATTTAAGCAAGTGCGTTCACTTAAACCTGCGATTTGCAGCCGAATTAATGGAAGAGCCGCTGTGATAGAAAATGAATGAATACCTTCTGACCAATCGGTGTTGAGAATTCAGCCTCTTTTATGCTTTAAGTCCAAAGAAAACTTTGTGTCCATATAAAAGCCATATTAAAGCTTGTTATCCTTCTTCCAGGTTTCTGTTTCATGCACTTAACAGACTCTGAGGCATGAAGTGAGCTCAGAGCAGAGAGCAGAGACGGGGAAACTATGGGATGATAAATAGGAGAGCGGTGGTGGGCAGCACTTACGGTACATCGCGTTGAAAAGAAACATGAAAGATCTCTTTTTTTTCCTTTTTTTTTTATGAGACCTGGAGTGTACACATGTCAAAATACAGCAGGGTTTTACCACATGCTGGGTTTTAAACAAGCTGTTAGGAAAAGTTTCGGCGCAGAGAAATAAAATGAAATAAGAAGGAACCTCGTCTGAAAAGGACACTTGTAGACTTCTGCATGGAATCGTTAAGCTTTTAGTCTACTGGAAGGGAGAAAAATGGATGTGTCAACTCAGTGTGGATAGTTCGCCAATTATTAAACGTTTTCGTTCATTTTCAACGTGCAGATCAGATCGATTTGTCAACACGTCACGTTTGATTTGATTCTTTTTTTTTTATTATTATTTTAAAGGCTTTTCATTATGTAGCAATGGTGTTACACCAAATATACAAAAACACAAGAATACAAGTGCTTACATCAGCAATCTCCTTCTCCATCTGCATGACCCGGTCCATCTCCACTCTGATTTCTGTCTCATTCACCTCCAAGCCTCTGTCTCTTCGGACCAGAACAGCCAGATCAACCATGAAGTTCTTATATGTTTTACAGGCCTGTGAACAAACACCAACACTTCTGAAACAAACTATTAAGTGAGTGTGTGTGTGTGTGTGAGAGAGAGAGAGAGAGAGAGAGAGAGAGAGAGAGAGTGTTAGCAGGGGTGGATATGCTTTTAAATTATGAACTAGATACTATTTGCCTCCTGATGTTTAGCTCCCCAGTTATTTAGGAAGCATTCTAGGTCTCCCATGAGGCATTATACCAGTTAATTGGGTTCATCTTTCTCCCTTCCTCCCTCTATCTATCCTCTCTGACTTTTCCATCTCTCCTTTTTCCCTTGGGTCACTTCACACTCTCTATGAATATTCATGCGGCCTGACTGGTTGAAGCACAGGACAGAGGAAGTCCACACCAAGTTCTTTCATCTGTGTGTCCTGTGGGATGGAGCTATGGTGTGTGTCTCATTTCCAGTCGTGTTAGCACTAATTACCTGCAGGATCTGGAACACATTAGAGACACAGAGTGGGTGGAAGGCCTAATTTGAATAATAATCAGATGGTGCCTGACGACGTCTGTGTGTAGGGTCCAGACACACTGGAAGCCTAAAGTGATGGATGACGGATTGAGAAAATGTACAATAGATAAGCTTTGTTATTACAATTACATTTGGGACTCAAGGGACTGACTGAACAGGGACAGAACAAGCCAAAGGATTGAATTAGCCATCAGGATCATTTGTGATTTTCCACAGACAGTCTATGAGCTTAATCTGTGTCTGGAAAAGAAGCAGAAGAACTAAGATTGAACTTATCATCAACTCGCATCATGCATGTGGTCATCTCTGCCATCCACTTCATAGAGTATATAGTTGAGTATATGATTGGGGTGCCAATAGTTTTTTTTAAATAGATTTTTTCATCATTAAATCTAAGAAAACATGTGTGTATCCTCGTATAAAGTTTGTTAACCCATCGCTGACAACTGACAAGGTTTCTTTGTAAAGTTTTATATATATATATATAGCAAGGAATTAGCAAATACACAAAATGGTTACCTAATGGTATCACGACATTAAGGACTTATTAATGATTTACTCCAAATGCATTTAAATTACAACCCCGATTTCGAAAAAGTTGGGACAGTATGGAAAATGCAAAAAAAAAAAAAAAAACATTTGTAGAGTCATTTGAAAATTCAGTTCACCCTTTACTATATTAAACACATTATTGACACGTTATTTGCTCTTTTACGTTGTGAATTTCATTCGTTCTTTTTTTAAATATCCACTAATTTCAAATTTAAATGTGTGTAACTTTTTGAAGTGATTTCGTCAGTCAGTATCATAACATCATATTAAATGTTCTTCAACCTACGGCCTTCAGGAAATTCACACGATGCAACTTCCTGTTGAATATGTGACTATGTGGAATATTCCAAAATAAATAAATAAATAAATTCCTAGGGGTGAATATGCTCAGGTAACAGGATTGAGCGAAAGTTATGGAACTATAGTGTACATTTTTCATCATCTACTTTATAAGGGACGACTCAAATATGACCGACTGACCTCCCCCTCTACATCCCCCAACCACACACACACACACACACACACACACCTAGGAAAAGTTCAGTGACATTTCCTGCTTAGCTTTTAACTTTCGGTTTCATTGTTATCATGTTTGAAATGGGTAGAACCTGCGACAGAGCTACAACACAAGATAAAAAGTTATTTATGTGTAACATCTAAATATCTGCGCTATGTAGCAAGTATCTATCTATGCTAGAAACTGAGAATGGAACAGAAACACAAAACGGCAGCTTTGGTGTAAAAGGCATATCTTACCTCTTCATAGGGCCCCGTGCAGACATAGTAGTCTCTGGAGGGCAGGCCAAGGCTTGGCTGGTCGAACTGATAGAGTGAATCAGATGAACACACAATCATACCATTCATTCTAAACAGGAAATCCAATGCATCCACAGCACCAGTAAAAAAATAAATAAAAAAAGTATCAGTTACCATGATTAAAATAAAAAAAGTCAGATCTAATCTCTTCCAAGTTTCAATAACAGAGGGACTATTTGTTCATGGAGATTTTGTGATTGTGAGTCTTTGGCGCGTTGCCATATGAGCAAAGTGGTTCTCGTTGTTTAAATAGACAGTGTTTTGCTGAAAGTGAGAGCCACCAAAGTGTTCAGGAATGTCTCAGATGGGAAACAAAAGAATAAAAAAGGGTAGCAAGACAGATAAAAAAAAAAAGAAGACTGATTTAAAGAGAAAAGAAAAACAAAGTGCAGACTTACATGAATGATATGAGAATTGGAGTCTCGGTCGTCTGTGCCGATAAAAAAGCTAATTAGGACTTGCTTCCCATATTTCTCATTCAGTTTGGCTATGGCATCTTCTGCCCTCCATTTGTCCCCTAAAGAGACGATATGACAGACATAAAAACATGTTGAACTTCATTCTGTGATGTTGAGTAAAATAAAATGCATACAGTAAATACATCATGTAAGAACATGATCACATACCGAATTTGGTGTCCCAGTCGTCCATTGCGATTGGCCACTCGAAGACATCTGGCAGCATTGAAATCAGAGGCATTCCACCTCTCTGTTCAATGAGACCTGTAACAAAAAAACATCATACATACCATATTACATCAACGTTCATATCAACAAGCCCTGACTGCTGACAACAAATTCTTATTATTATACGTTTTAAACCTGACCATTTAATTACATTTTAAAAGAAATTCTATTAATGAAACTAATGAAATTCAGGATTTTGCTGCTACTTTATTAGTTGATAATACCAAATGAAACATCAACCCTTCTCTCATATTAATCCATCCATC